CAATCCAGTATTTCCAACTATTTGATTGAGTGAGAAAGAGACAAATTTGAGGGACTAAATTTCTTTTAAGGGGGGAGAGTTGTAATAACCGGACCCGAAATTTAGCCCAAAATTAATTTTAAAATTTAAAAAATATATAAAAATATAATTTTGAAATTAATAAGTTTTTATTTAATGTGAAATTAGGAAAAAAAAATAGGTTAAGAATGAAATTGAAAATAATTTTGGATAAAAGTGGTGAAAATTTAGATTCGGATAGTATTTTTGAAAGAAAAATCGAAAACTAAGGTCAAAACGCAATTAAAAAAAAATTATACCACGTAGGACCCTCAGTCAACAGTCCTGACGAACCGGAGCGCGCTACGTGATAAGGCATGTTGACTCGGTGCCACGCGAGAGGCCACGCTGGCAAACTGCGTACCCACGATTGGACAGCCCAGATACATTCCCCCGCGCGTGGACGGTCCAGATTCATTCTCTCCTCTGGCGCGATCAGACGGTCGCGATTACATACGATGAACGGTCCAGATTTGTTCTTTCTTTAAATGTGATCGGACAGTAGAGATCAAATCGTAATGAAATGTGCAGATTCATTTTTTCTTTAAACGTGATCAGACAGTCGAGATCAAATGTGATAAACGACCCAGATTTAAGCGAGACAGGTATATATATCTCGCATCACACCAAATCCAAACCCTAGCCACTATTCTCCCACTGGAGAAGAAGAAACAGTCGCTAGAGAAGACAGTCGACCGCCGCTCGTCGCTGCGCTGGAGCCACTTTCGACAGCTAAAAAAGGTAAAAATTCTCCTATCTACTCGAAATTTGATTGTGAACACCTCCATAGCCAAATTGAAAGAAAAAAAATGGTGGATGAGCTGGAAACTATGGGCAAAGCTCGACGATGCCGCCGCGGGCAAAACCTAAAACCACTATTAGTGAACCCTTTCCAGTTTTCTGTTTCGTACGATTTTTTCACAATTATGTTCATCGTTCTGTCTTTTACATGTTGATCGAAGAAAAATGCCAAGTCGTGAATGTGAGCTGGCGAAGCCGCCGCACTGAAAAATTCCGCCACCTGTAGGTTTTTATTTTTTGATTTTTTTTTTGCCAAATGAGCCCCCTAACGTGTTTTCTCTCATTGATGAGTATAAACTAGTCAAAAACGATCAGACTGAGTAAATATTCGTTGTGGGCAGTGGTGCCATCGCCGTCGCCGTCGTCGAGCACGCCGTATCAAATTTCAAATTGGCTGAAAAAAGTTTTACACCGATTTGGGTTTTTGGGG